AGCTAAACAGGGTGATACACAGGCACATTAGAAAAAGAATCCCTCCAGGACTTTAAGGTGGTTCATGACTCAGCATCACTGGCCTCCAGCTGAGCCACAGCACTCACCAGCTCACTCTCCCTGGAGGGGTGGCACTGGTCCTCTGAAGGCCGCTCATCCGCCAGTTCAGCACTGCTTACCTGAGCCAGCACAGCCTTTGGTGTGATGTGCTGTTTCTGACTAAAATTAGTTTCAACCAAATTTACCCTTGCATATTCTAATATTTTTCACTTTCCATAGTTTCATACAATGTTCTTCGTGTATATATGTAATAACTGAATTAATAATCTCTCACCACTATGTGTGACCATGTAATATGACACATACAGTGCTTTCTGCCTTGAATTCTTTGTTCTTTTTTTAAAAAAAAAGATTTATTTTATTTATGCATCTAAGAACTGGGGTATAGGCCAGAGGTGGGGGTAGTGGTGAGAGGATTCACCAGAGACAGAGTGGGGAGCAGAACAGGCGGGTGTGCTGAAATCCACTGCTGAGGGGAGCAGCGGGCGAGACAGTAGAGGTCTGCTGCACCATGTGGGTAGCTCCCTGGCTGGGGGTCAAACTTGTGCCGCAGTGGCTGTCGATAGCTTCATTGTGCTGAGACTTAACCACTTGCACTACCGGGGAGGGTCTCCTTGGTTTGTTCTTATAGCGACTTCCAGGTACACCTTTGTCTTGATGCACCTGTACTTAGCACAGTGCTGGACACACCAGTGCTCATTAAATGTTGGTGAAAAGCAAGGACACTGGAAACAGGGGGAACAGTAAAATCCCATGTGTTTTGGTTCCTGGGGGGATACACATACCAGCTCCTTCCATTCTCCTCAAATGATAAACTTTCCTACGGGAAATTAATAATCCTCTCACCATACCCAAGTAGTGAAAAAGAAATTCCAGAATGCCACCCTGCCCCAGAGGGCAGCTCCAACTCCAAATGTCAGCCTGCTGCCCTGGTGACTGAGCACAGTGGGGGAGGGGAATGGACCAGCAGGGGCGGCGGCAGGGAGCAGAGGACACCACGGCAGGGACCTGCTGCCCGAGCTCAGGAACCCACATCACAGAGGAAGCAGCTGCACCAACCGGAGGGGGACCCTGGGGCAGAGGGAGAATTCAGTGCCCGTGGGAGAACAAGGCTGGCAAGAGAGGCAGGGGAACAAGAAAGGAGTTTAAAGGAATTTTTTAAATGATGGCAAAGCCTGAGAGCCCATCCGACTCCGAGGCCCCACAGAGGGCACCTGGCGGTGCTTTGTGTCACCTACATCGGAAATGATAGAAAGGGACCGACAAGAACGGGATCCTGTGCTGCGGGGACCTCCCTGGCCAGTCCAGCCCCAGAGCATCACGTGCCGCTCTTGGGCTCCACGGCACTTTCAATGTGGCACTGCAGGTGCAGAAGGTGATGCTTGCCAGACGGGGCAGCAGGTCTAGGACCCAGGGGGTGATGGCCTGCAGAGGCCACCTCTCAGCCTCCAGCCTCAGCTGCCTCCCGGCTGGTCAAAGTGAGGCTCCTGTACAGCAGGTGTGCAGAGGTTTGCAAAGCTCCATCTCAGTGTTGTGCAAACAACCGAGTCCATAGTGTGTGATTAAATTACTTTCAGGGATGTCCCATTTTATTGCAGGGTTAACTTGTATTAATGGTACCCACCCCAGGGAAAGTGACTGGTTATCTGAAGCTAGACCAGAGCTCAGTGGACAGACCTCCCCACAGGCTCTGCCCTAGTCCCAGGGATGTGGAGGGGACCATAGACAGCTCACAGTAGGTCTACCAGGACCTCACAAGGACTCACTCTGCTCTTCAGCCCTTTCGGTTACTCTTGCTTTATGATCTCGGGCAATCGGGGGCTCCAGGGTCCTGCTTGTCAGTTGTTTGAATTATTTTATAACTTCAAATGTTGCCTGGATGAACGAATAATCCAAAGTTCTGTTCCTTATGTGTAGAAATGATTTGATGCAACAAAGAGAGAACTACAGAGAGACAGAAAGATTCAGAGAGCGAGCGAATACAATCACTCTCAGGACTGTGCACTACAGATCCTCCAAACCCCACCAGATCACAGAAAACAAGGTGACTCCCGTCACGCAACAGTGTGATTTCATTCTATTCAGTTACTCGGAGTGTCACACCACTTTTCTCCAGTTATGTTAACAACACTAGTGGCAAGCACTCAGGTGTGTGGACCAGGTGTGTTCTGTGTGTGCCAAGTGTGTCCTGGATGTGTAGATCAGGCCTCTAACTGGGAGCGTGTATCAGGTCTGTACTGGGTGTGCTGAATGTCTATGCCAGGTCTGCACTGGTGTTACCAGGTGTGTGTGTGTGTGTGTGTGTGTGTGTGTGTGTACCAGGTGTGCACCAGGTATGTACTAGGTGTGTACTGGCTGTGTACTCGGTGCCTTCAGGGCACTGAAAGGAATCTCTGAGCCCCACCACTAGCCCCACCACTGCAGAGGGCTCACTGTTCTGCAGTGACAGCAGCTGGGTACAGCCCCAGGCCTGCTTGTCCTCAGAGGCACGTCCTCAGCTGCCAGGCTCTGCTACCCGCACCTGTGTCCATACCAGGGCCTGCTCCCCAAGACAGCCTGTCTGTCAGTCCTCGGCTAAAGGCATGGAACCCTGCAACTTTGTTCTCAAACTTATTTAACAAAGAAAAACTCTCTACTGAACTGCCCAGGAAGCTGGCCTTCTCCTGTCCCCTCTTCTGGCACAGTGACATCTATTTGCACGCCCAGGAAGCAGCAACCTAGACCCGCCGACCCTGCTTGTCAGCACAGCCTCTCCTGCCCCTTCCCTGTTCTGCGCCTCCCAACGACAGGACACAAAGGCTGGGGTGGTGGGCGCAGTGCCAGGTCACTGTGACCCCTCAGTCTGCATTGCCAGAAAAGTGAGAAGGGCTCCTGGACATGGTAGACAATGGACCATGTTTTCTCAGCTGGTCGTTTCCACAAGGAAGGACATTTCTACTAGTGCAACACTCCCTTGACCGGGGCTGACACACAGTTTTGGTAAAAGGAAATTTTACATCTAATTCAAAAGGGTTCTTTAAGGAACATGTAAACATAGGGGCAATGGAGGGAATGAAGGAATTCTATGAATGTTCACGAAGTGTTTTATGAGAATCTACATGAGATTTTAAAACACACGGAAGCAAAGTTTTCTCAAGACTAGGAACCTAGGCCAGAGCCAGGAAACAGAGGCTCAGGAACAACGGGTAGAAATGAAAGAGCAGGAAGAGCCAGGGGTCTAGACATGAGAGACGGTGTCCAGTCAACTCTCCAGGTTTGTATATAACACCGTCTCATCTACCAGTATGGACCAAGGGAGTCATCAGAACTTCAGGAGAAAGCATGCAAAGTAACAGAAGATCTTGTGTGGAAAAGTGTGAATTACTATTATTCCAGTCTGTGAAATTCCATCGCTTAAGATTGAAATCACAACCCGAGAACGGATCCTGGGAATCCCTGTGGATTGTTTCCCTGAAGACACTGAAACCTCTATGCTTCTTTGGCTTAAAAGTGTCAGGACGGGCCTCGGTTGGCCACTAGGGCTGAGATTGCCAGGAAGGTTATCAGAAGTCAAGAAAGACCGCCACATGTCCCTGTAGAAACCCAGCTGTGACCCGCTGCCTGGGCTAGCAGAGCCCTGCTCTTCACCCTGGGGAGAAAGACAGCGCCTGACGCTGCCCAGAAAGTCAAACAAACGGCAATCACAGCACTTTGCTCGATTTCAGCACTATCGGGAGCCCCGACATGCATGAATCACCTCATCCTGACCCCACCGTAGAGGGGAGGGAACTGAGACACCAAGCAGTAAGTAGCTTGTCGAAGGCACGGGGCTGGCATTTGTGCCCAGGCCAGGGGGTGCCAGGTTCCAGGCCCCGCAATACAGGCTACTCACTGCCCAGGGAAGATGGGACAAAGTTCTGTGCTGTTCTACGGGCAAGCAAAGACTGAAAGTGATTTATCCAGGTTAATAAAACCAGGCCTGAGAGGGAACACACGGACTTCCTAGCAAATTGTAGATGAAAGTCAGGACGAAGTCAGTTTCAAGGAAGTGCAAGGAAAAGTTCTCCGCGCAGCAGGAAGTGCCTTAGCACATTTCATTCCCTTCAACGAGCATGGAGACTCCAACTTCATGACTCAGAAAGAGGGTTGGCCTTCCGTGGTGTCACTAAGGGGTGCCAGGTTTGTTCTGAGGGGTTCTCTCCTTTCAGTCACGAACTAAGAGAATTTCCTTACCTGTTCCCCACGCCCACCCTGGGCCACATCTAGCTGAGGCCAGCCACTGCATTAACCCCATAACTGCCAAACAATTCCAAGGGCTGGGATTCAGGTTAGCTACAGGAATCCTGTGCTGGGCCGATGGTGGCCCCACTCTGGGTTCTCACCTTACAAGTGAGGACCTCGGGGCTCCCTCTTTCCCTCCACCTATGACTCTCCTCTGTGCTGGAGAAAGCAGAGACAGAGCGGGGTGTCTGGGTGGTCTCTGGGAAGAGACAAGAACTTAACGGAAGACCCCCAAGTCTCGAGCCTCTCATCTTCAACTTGGGCTTCCTGTGCCTCCAGCTCCCCACGCTGAAACTTCTGAGAAGCTGCCCATGTGAGAGGCCAGCTGTCCAGCACGGAGGGACCTAAGGGTAAAGGGCTTTTATTTCAACTGTCCACTGATGTGGCAGCCCCAGGGAACAAGGATCCCCCTTGGGAAGGAGACCATCTAGGGCCTTGAGCCGAGACAACAGGGTTCAAAAAGGAGAAGAGATTTAGCAACGCTGGGCTTGGTGGAGGCGTGAGTGGCAGGAAGCAAAGTCGTTGAACCACAATAGGGATGTTCCCTTTGGAAGCCCAAAGTGACCAGCACAGAACTCTTTCGTCAGCACAGAGGAAGTCTCCGCAGAGGAAACTGCTACTCCCTCCGAAGCGCCTTAGCACAGCATTCAGGCCAAAGAGGCGGCTCTGCGTCTACTCACCTACGCAGTTATCACAAAGGCTGCAATGAGAGGCACGAGGTGGCCGGAAAATCTTGCAGGTGAAACAATATTTAAGTTTCACAGTCTGGCCATTGATGATGACTTCTTTGGTTCTGGGAGGTGGGCGGTACCCCCCTGAACTGGTGCCATTAGCAATATCTGGAGGGAAAAAAAGGAAAAGAGCACGTCAAGACCCCTGCTTAGCAGCACCTCTGGCCTCTGCAGGCTCTGGCCACTGCGAGGGCTTAGGTGGCCTGGAGGCTGCAGGTCCCAGTGCGGTGCCCACTCTGGACTCTGGGCACCTGGCCCCAGACCCACAGTGGGCTGTGACCCGGAAGCCTAGGCCTGCCACAGAAGGTTTGATGCGCCCTTACTATTGCACACAGGTGGGGTGGCCTCGTGACTGAGCTCTGGCCAATGTGCTTGGAGCACATGTGGCCCTGCCCAGCAGGGGGTCCTCCCCACAGAGCCCCACCCACTCTCTCCCCTCCCGTCCTTGAAGTCACCTTGGGGCCACCAATCAAGCTTGGCTGACAGTGCAGAGGAGGCGGCCCTCTGACCTCGTCAATGGTCCATGCTCTTACACGAGCGCCCACTTCCTAGCCACTTCCTAGGGCGTGGAAGTGCTGATGGTCTGGGTCTCAGCAGCTAGTGTTTCCCCCACAAATGCAGTGGGGACCCTTCTTATCCCATGGTGTCCTCCCAACCCAGTGCAAGAACCTCCCCACTTGCCCACTGGTCTCTTAAAACATACCAAGCATTGGATGGGGCAGGGATGTAGATTTAAATATATAGAATATATATTATACATATATATGTTTAAGATCATTACATGGACATTTAGAAAGTAATTTGTTTCATTTTCTGACAGCATCTTCAGTTATTTTTTAGACTAAGTCCTAAAAATGTTGAAGAAAATACAAGTAGGTATATATTTTGTAAAGTTTCACTTTCTCTTATAGCTGAGTTCTTATTTTTGAGTTCAGGTTAGAATTACCTGGGGAGCTTTTAAAACTCCCCTAACGCAGGGTCACTGCCCAGACCCATTAAATCAGAACTATCATGGGTGACTCCAACGTGCTGCAGGCCCAAGGAGCCCCGCTCCGTGAGAAGACAAAACAGCCAGGGACGCTCTGCTGTGCTGGGTCCACACACAAGCACAGGCCGATGATACAGAGCCTGGCTCACTTCAGATGGAGAGGTTGAACCCAAACCACGTTGGTACACCAGCGATTTAACACAGAGAACTTGGTGATTCCCAAGAGCGGGAGGTACCTGGGGGTACCAGCAAGCCCCCTGCTCTCCTCCACCCCCACCAGGCCTGCCCTCACATATGCACAGGATCCATATCTCTCAGGTCTTGATTTCCAGGACCCCAATGGGTATGCCCTTCCCTCTTTGCCCCCAATCTTCTTTAAGAGGCTGTCAGAGGCCTGAGATGCTCCAGCCCTTTAGTCTAAGGCTTTGATGTTTGCAAAAACAAGTAGCCAGTGCGTGAAGTTACCAGCTACTTACTATTCACGGAGACCGAGCGCTCCACAGCACCTTTTGGAGGAGGGGACGGGAGTTCAGGCAGGAGACAAGTGGGTGTGGTGGGCATGGAAGGAGCCAGGAGTCCTCCTGGCCTCCCTCTTGGCTGAGGACAACTTTCTACTTAGAATAATTAACAGTGTGGAGCCATCACAAGGACTCAGGGTGGCTGTGCCAACAGGACTCTCTGGCATCTGCTCTCTGGCATCTGCCCCTCCTGCCTGGCCGTCCAGGTGGGCGCCCTGTGAACAGGCGCTAAGGTCAACAGGCATCTGAGAGGCGCCCAGCAGCAAAAGACCACAGGCTGGGGAGAGGGAGGCACTGCCAGCCATTCTGCAGCAAGGAGAGAGCACAGAGGCCCCGAGCACCAGGGGAGATGCTGGCTTTGAACACATGAGAGATAAGGGCAGATTTCTACCGGTGCCCCAGGGTGCCAAAAGGGCCTAAATTAATGATGACCTGGTGCTTCCCTGCCTTCTGTCAGCTCTGAGACCTACCGGTCTGTTTAGGTCTTGCAAATGTGGGTAGAAACCAAGAAGTTCAAAAAGAAGAATAATCAACCCATCAATAACATTTGTGTTCACCTAATCAGAGAAGCTTAAATATTCAGTCTTCAAGGTCAGGGTCAACAGCCATAGTAGAATGTCCACTAGAAAGCCCCGCTTGGAGCTGAGGGACATGACAAAGTGAGCTCTAGCAGCCCCTGCGCCAGACGTGGACGAGCTCGCCAGCCAAGGTGCATGTGGGAAAGATTAGACCTTTGATACGAAGTGAGCTGAGGGTAGAATTCAACTTTCAGGGTCAGCTGGAGCTTAGGAATTCAACTCCCCGCCCTCCTACCCTGAAACTCCTTGACTAGAGACCTGGAGAGTTCCTTATGTATAAGGAGTGGAGGAACTGGAGGGCCTGGATGCAAGCCCAGCTCTGCCATCACCAGACTGAGGCCCAGAACTAAAGACCAAATTCAACCGATGTTCACAAAGTATTTACCAGATGCAAAGCGCTGTGCCAGAGGTGTGGTGGGCCTGAAAGGAGCAATTCTCACTAGGCTGGGTGTGGGGGGAGTCGGCAGGCCTGGGCTGTTTGATGAGCTGTGTCTCTGACCATGTTCTGGCTGCCCCATTCTGGTCTGATGAATTTGGGGGCCTCTTTAGAGGTGAACCAGGTCTCCGGTGCCCCTGGCTGGTCTTCTTGCACAACCTCCAGAGTCTGGCTCAAGCCCCCCACGCACTTGCCTGAACCCCAGTGCTGTTCCCGGCACCCCTCTCAGGCTCCCTCCCTGCCGTCTGTGGAGATCATCCTGTCCTTTGAGGTCCAGCTCCCAAACCCTATGGCTCATCCACACCTACTGGCTCTGCTGGCTCTCAGTCCACTTGTAACCCAGTCAGTGGAGCTGTGCGGTGCCAGCGGGATGGGGGGCGGGTGAGGGGGAGTATGCCAACACCCCCTGCAGGAAGGCCGGGTTCTCTGCTGTGGCTTCTGTTACAGGACATTTTTTTGGCCTACCCTTCAAGAGGGCAGGACCATGCCCAAGCCGCTTTCAGGTCTTGGTGTCTAGCAGAAGGTTAGCACACAGGAGGTCCTCAGGAAATGCTTGTTGGATGAAAGGGCCATTGTCCTTTCACCTGTCCATTGGCAGGTGGGATGGAACTAAGTTGGGGTGCAGAGGTGGAGGTCCCCATTCTTCCAGGTCCACCTGTCAGTCAGAGTCAAACTGCCCTCTGACCTCTGAGCCTGTGACTCCTCTCTCTAGGGAATGTCTCTCAAGTTCCGTCTGAGGTTGCTGTTTCTCTTAAGTGTCCAGAGCCCCTCTGGCCCAGAGACCTTCCTGCCCAGCAAGTGGGCGCCACCCAGGAGACAGGGCCATTGGGTAGCTGCCCCTGGGGGAGACCCAGAGTTGCTGTTTCTTTCCACATAATAAATTCCAGGTCTTCCAGATCAGTATCTTTCGGCAGGCAAGCGTCCAGGCAGTGTAACTGATGGGGCCTTAAAACCCAGGCTTCAACACCCACGGCTGGACACAGGGCTTCTCTCCGAGGTTCCGGCTGACGCCCGTGGCCCATGATGAAACCTGTCTCATCCTTGGAGATGCAAACGCCGCAGCCCGCATCCTAGGGCCTATTCCTATTTTAACCCCGGGTACCCTGAGGATGCTGTTTTTGGTTTTGGTTGTTGGTGACACTTGTGTCCCTGCTTCTTAGGGCTCTTCTTTTTGGCTTAAATGCAGCTGCTGACAAAGAAAGACGGAAGTCCGCTCTGGCTAGCCGTTAGAGAGCGCTAGACCTGGGGATGAAACTTCTAACCATTCTGCATGTTTATGAGTTAGAATTTTCCAAAAACATTTTTATATACATGTGCTTTGTGAGAAAACTTAGAAGCTTGCAAAGGGTTTCTTCCCTCCTTCCTTAAAATTGTTGGGATTTGCCGGCACAGAAGCAGAAATAGTATTGGACTCCCCATCTAGCACTAACTCACAATCAGCCGAATGCCGAGAATCAGGGGAGGTGAGGACAAAAGAGGGGGATGCTTGGCGTGAGTCAGGGACACAAACCTACCTTCACTCACAGAGAAGTGCTGGCCGGGGCGTCAGCCAGTGGCTTGGTGGTGTCCCCCTATTCCAAAGCCACTCTCGAGGAAGTCCTATGGTTTTCTTGCAGGACTAACTGGGCTCTCACATCCTGGGGGACAGTCTGCCATCTCATTTATTCCTGCTCCAAATCCAGGGGCAAAATCATTGAACTGCGCTCACCCTCTAAAATGAATCTGCTTTCTTAAAAGGAGAAAGGAAAAGCCACAGCTTACAAAAGATGTAGATGCAGATTCTTTTGCTTTGCCAAAGGGACTCAGAGCAGTGGCATCCGTGCCTGCCTTGAAGCTTCCTAGACCGGTTACCAGCCTGAGAGCCCGCGGCAGAAGGGGAGGAACCTCTACCCATAGGCGTGTCCCCAGAATCCAGACAGCGACCCCTTGGATCTCGTCGGGGCAATGAGGTTTGCTGTGGCTTTCCTGGGTCTCTACTGCAGGCACGGAGGACGCTGTGGGTGCTGGCATTTCTGAAACTTCCTAAGGCTCATTTCATTATTGCTCTGCAGTAACGGCAGCGTTTGAGCAGACTCCCAGAGCCGGGAGTGGTGGGTCTGGCAAGAGGCAGGATGGTGATGAGCCACTTACCAGGAACTCTCAGCTGTAGTCTGCAAGCGTCCAAGCCCAGAGGAAAATACAAACAATGATTAGACCTTGGACAAGTTCACTCCTCATGTTGTTAGGGCAAAAGGCTTAACAAATTCTGGCCTGCCTACAAGATACTGGTTAGGCTTCAACTCAACAGAGCAAAAGTGTGACTATTTTTATACTTCTATATTGAATATATAAGTGAATACTTGTACAATGGACGGCAGCATCTTTGCTTCTGCAAATGCTTATATGCAAATATGTACTAAGCGGGGAGGCCCCCAGGCCTCCTCTGCAAGTTAAAAGCTTTACTAAGTCTGTGTCTTGCATGTTTGTCTACAAGACTGGAAGCTGATGCAGGGTTTCAGACCTGAGAAACACAGTGGGCAGATAGATAGGGGAGTTGTCTCTGCTTCGTGGGGCCCATTTCAAGGAGGAGCAGAGTGTCTGCAAAGCTG